GTGTGCCAGACTGGTTACACCAAGGCCTCCATTTAGCCCATTTATTTCTGGAACATGGGAATTTGTATGATGTCATTTTCTAGTTGTGTTAGACCAAATGCAAATAGATCTGGGTATTATAAAGATTGCAGCACAAACAAAAATACAAAATCCACTGAACAATACAGACAGGGGATGAGAGAGGAACACTGAAACTAAAGGTACAGTTCATGGGGAAATAGATGAGGCCAAGTCACACTGCTCATCGACAACACATATTCCTCATTCCATGTCCCAGTGACTTGTTACATAAACAGGATAGGTGCTGTTACCCAAACAGGAATATCATTCCCATCCTTAAGAGCACACCTGAGCATTTGTCTTTGCTGTCCCCAGTTGCCAGAAAAACCAAAGCTGACAAGTCCTCTTCCACCAGACTGTATTGCAAATTCTCACATACACCCTCTTGTGCATTCAAATTTTAAAAATGAAAATAGAGTAAGAATGCATTTTTGAACTTTGACCCACAGTTATTTGTTCTGCCCCATGGGCTCCTCTGCAGCCAGCTTAAACCCACCAGTACACCCACTGATCTGAAATACATTTCATGAACCTCTGAAAAGCAGTACACAAATAGCCATAGTTAAAAAGCTAGATGGTGAAAAACAAAGCAAGATTTGAGGTTGCAGGGGGCATTGCTGTATCCCTAAGATGCATGAGTTGAGACAAATCTCCACAAGACAAACAAAGCCTTACAAAACACATACACACATGGAGCTTTGTTCATTTATGATGAAACCTGAAAACTGAGAGACATGTAGGCAAACGCAGACTGAGTTTGTAAAAGCTTCTGCACCAGACATTCCTCTCCTAAGAATACATACTGCTTAATTAGCCTGTAAGAATTTGACCCAAAACCTATGCATTTTGGCTGTCACTGTTACATACACTAACACCTCACAGTGCAGAACAGGCGTCTTCATTTTTCTTTTGAAAAGTATTTCAGATCATATATTCTCAGTTCTGTGAATTTTGCATAAGGATTGTCCTACTTTCTGCAGCGTTTTTATCTCCAAACATCACACAAGGATCTTTCTGCTTATTGAAGAGCTTCCAAAACTCAAGTTTTGCCATGGATAAAGAAAACCACAGGTAAGGATGAAAAATACCTTCTCAATACTGGAAGATAAAATGTCCCCCTCCTACGTAAGGAGACCAGAGAATCCAGGCTGCAACCAGTTCCCAGACTTTTACTAATTTCTGACTTCTGCAAGGTGTGCTACTTGATTTAAAAGTGTTCTTACCTCATCACAGCCTAATTGGGAATAGCTGCTTTGGAGACAAGGCGGGGAAGAAGGAATCTGTGTTCATCACCACTAAAAGTTACTTACACACTTCTATGAGTAAATGCTTTGAGGAGTCAAGTTATAAATTGAATTTTTCTCAGTTAGGAAAGAATTTTGAAAGACCAGTGTGGGAAGAACCCATGCTTTTAATCTGCCAAGACCCCATTTGGGAACCACAGAGCTCCTTGTTCCACTCCCGAGCATCTTCTATTGCAGGCCATGGGATTCTTTGCAAAAGGGTGATGGCCAAATAAGGAGGGTGGGCAGACACTGGCACAGCTCTGTCTTCCTTGGTAAACATAAGCAGGCTGAGCCAAGCTGCCCCCAGTGAGGACCTGGAAAGTAGATCCCTTGAAACAGGAAAGACTAGCAAAGGATTGTACCTCTGCTACTTGGTGATCTGGGGGACAGGCAAGGTGTGATGCAGCAGAAATGCAGCTACCTCTATCAGCAGCTGGCCATTCCAAAAAGGTTTTGGGCAAGCTCAACTAACTCCTCTCCCAAACAACTGAGAAGACAGAACAACACAGTTTTATTTGCCTAAATGCTTTGTAAGTGAAAGAGGATGTGCATGCATGCATCACATGTGTTCTTTATCCCTTAAAAGACCAGGAAGGAATAATCCCGACTAACACTATGAAAAAACAAAGAGTTGCTAAATTAGAAGCCAGAGCAAATAAGAACTACCCACCAAATGGCTGTAGAGATAGCATGAATTTAATACTAAGACATTTTGCCACTTGTCTTTAAATAATACAGACATAAATCAGATTCCAGCTATTACACACAAGCACCTGCCACAGAACTCTAATTCTTGCTATGGTTGCATTAAACCTCTCCTGCCTGAGCACTGGTCATCCCTCTATCTGAATAGCTCTATTATGTAATTTTAACTCTGTAGTGGCAAACATGTAAAAAACCAGGCAAATCCTTAGATGGCATCTCAGTTTTAAGTAGACAGAGAACCATGTACTTTTTGAGTGCCGTCAGGAGTTGTATATACTTAAAGGGTAAGAATTTCTTCCCTCTCCACTGCCCTTCTATCTTCAACCACAGGCTTGTTTAGTGCAGGCCGTGTGATTTGTCCATCTGTCAAGGAAAGCAGTGCACCATTCTTGCTAGCTTCAGTTTTAATACTAGAATCATACAGGTATTATAGGATCATACAATCACAAAAGTACAATAAAGGATCAGAGAGTGTGAGTTAATGTTGTTAACATTGCATGAGTAACACATCAATTCCAAACAAATCTGTAGGTAAAAGTCAAGAGGTTTTCAAATGCCAGAAGAAATAGTTTCTACTCTAAGAAACATGAGCAGTTCAGAATATATTTTTCAACAGATTGAAAGCAAGGTGGTAGAATGAAGAGCTTCCAAAACAGTACTCTGTTCACAGCATCCCACTCCGAAGATCAAAAACCATTACACTACTAATTGAGGTGACACTCAAAGACTTCAAATAATGAGTGTTTAATGCTCAGTCTGAATGACAACTCAAGGAAGCAAATAATTATCACAGTCATTGGACAGATATAAAGACATTGTTAACTAGAAACGTCATGGCTTTTAACTTTCATTTCATATTATTTCAGAGTTATTTCAAAGTTACAGCATTAAAGGAATGAAAGTATAGTACTACCTTGGCATGAGAATTTTCCTATACATGCAACAACTCCTACACATGGTGCTGACTTAAAGGACAGAAATGTTGAAGCATTTTCTGATAACACTGTAATAAATCTCACATAGTGCAACGAGTTAGTCGTATCATATGATTAAATTTAATCTGCAAATCTTTAGACAGAAAAAGAATGTACATATGACAGGAAATCATTTCATAAAACACAACCCAAGATGACTATAAGCATTTCCACAAATCCTCAAATTGTGATGTTGTGGCAAGGAGTTATTTTAGATTTCTCAGAAGCAGACAGTCCCAGAGTTCAAAGTGCAACGCACCTCCTAGAGATGGGAAATAATGTCCTCTCCCAAAACTGCAGTCATGCAAACAAAAAACCCTGGAGGAATCTGTCAGCCAGAAAAGGGCAGGGCTGTTGGCAATTTCCCAATACCATTACAAAAGGAGAGCTTTTAGTACAGGGTTTTCTCAGAATAGTATGGACTCCCTTTAACTACAAGCATACATTTAAACCCTAAACTGCTGATCAACCACTCAGATGAATGTGGAAACCAAGAACCAGCTGCCACCACCACACACATCCACACTTTTGGTTTACACAGCACCTCATTGTGGCAGGTTTTGCCAAAACTGAAGAGAAACAAAGTCATCTCAACCTGCTGTACTTCACCAACTGTATGCAACTTCACCAACTGTATGCAACAACTCCCAACAACTGTATGCAGGAATACTCTATCTTAAAAAAGTAAAAGAGATTAAGAGAATTGGGTTAAGTCATGTGAGGCTGACTTCAAGGAGTTCCAAATGCTACATCATTTCCCAAAGTAATTCTGTGAAGCTGAACCGTCACTCCCATACTAACCCAATTTTTATGATGCTGGAAGATCTGCTAGAAACACCTTCTTCCATATCTTCATGACAACTTCACAGCTCTACTGTTTGAGGCGCTCTCATCCTAACTGAAACAGATCTTTATTTCTGTGACAATTGGAAAAATAGAGAAAATTTTTCATGTGCTATTTTCAAGTCAAGTCAGTAAGAGATGTGTTTACTATGTTTCTTCTTTTCTTGGTAATTTTTAGTAGAAATTGCAGAGGGAAATGAAACTCTTCCCCCCTCCCCTTGTCATTCCCACATGCTTAAAAAAATAACAATAGGATATAATAATAGTAAAATTGAAATAGCCAACGTGTTAAATCACCATACCTACACATTTGTAACAATCAGCAGGCAGCAGAGTGGGAACAAGCACAAACCAGCTTAGGAAAACTTTCATAGTATGACAACACAGCCATTCCTTCAGTACTTCTGATTTAACAAATATACAGTTTGGGGTTTTCCAACCCAAACTTCATAAAGTTTCTAAATTATAAATTACAAAACCATGTTTACATTTAATCCATACTGCTTATATTAAAAGCAGAAGGTTGAGATGCTGCTGTTAAGTGGTGAGAAGTCATAAATTAGTACAGAAAACACAAATTTTATCAAGAGATCCGAAACACTCCATGTTATATGTGCATTATCTCAACATCTTCCATTAAGTTACCCATTTTATACAGTTTGTCGCTTATATAAATAATTTTTAAAATATTTCTTACTATTTTTAAATGGTAAAGACTAAAAGACTTTATAGAACTGCTTGAACATGGAAATGCTACTTGACAGTTGGCATATGTGTATTTTAAATAACAGAACTGACTGTACATAAACTTACAGCTCTTTAGAAATTGAGCTGAAAGTATACATCCATTTAAGTTTAACAAAAAGAAAAAATCAACAAAATTATAAACCACTATGACAGTAACACTATGGTAATGTAAGAAGTTATTTTGCAGGGAGTTTTTTAAAGCATCAAGTATGTTATTTTTATGCTTCCAGCATTACATCCTTCATACTTTAGCCCATGATCAGTCTGGTCTTCAACAGAAAACGTACAGCACATTGATTCAGGAATAAGGCAATCAGCAGAACAAGAAACAGAAAAAAAAAATTCTCCCACAATTGTTTCAACAGAGAGAGTTAAAACAGATAGATTAACAAGTTTTAAAGCTTTTTAATTTATTATCATTATTATTAAATAAAAACAACAGACAGTCATGTTCCTCCAACACCTCCCCACCTCATAAATCTTTCAAGCTTCACAAAAGAGTTCTGAACACATTATTTAGAAACATTGACAAGAAACATATTTTGTCCCACTGCTTCACATCTATCTGGAATTTTACTCACATAAAAGACCAACAGGAGTTTTAAGTCATCTTTCTTTGGTACAGTAATGCTTATTCAGACGTGCTTAGTACCAGTTTGCTCCTCCTCTAGCAGCTGAAATCAGCCACACCAGGGCAATCTGGCTGTTTTCATAAACTAGAGGCCAGAATTCAAGCAAGTAGTAGTCAGACATCCTGCTTCTACCACAGGACAATTATCAGGTGGTCTACTAAGTGCGCCTTCTGCATCAAAAGAGAGCATAATAGAAGTGTAACATATTTTTAGGCCTTGAGCTATATTGTCCCAAAAGCTACTAAATAGCTACAAACTCACCATATAAGTAACCATGTAAAACACAAACACTTGTCTAAATTATACAGTTGTTACCATTATAGATGATCAATTGTCATAATACGTACTAGAATTTTTCTTTAGGTATCCTCTATACAGTAACAAACATTTAGGAGGAATGTGCACTATGCATTTATTTGATAATAGTTGAGGGATGCACTGCTGACTCTGTCTTGCTTGGTGAAAAGTATTCTCAGCTTGCATTCAGGAAGAGGAGAGCAGTCAAGGCCATTGGTATCTTCACACCTTGCAATGTTTTTTTTTCTTTATTATCTATGAGTAAGGCACATCATTTATAATGTGGCTATTTCCATAGGCTTGCTCATTGTATCTTAAGGTTTAACAAAGTATGAATCATACCATCTTTGGCTTTTTTTCTCTGCTTCATAGAAAATGGATCTGTGTGTCAAACAATCAAAACACAAGAACTTTGGCAATGCTTCAGGGCACAAAGCTAGTTTAAATCCCAGTCAATGACCATCAACACAAAAAGAATTATGTATTTAGAGCGTTTCCATTTTGTCTCTCACTCAATTGGCTTCAAATCTGCTTTGCAAGATTTATTTGATAATAGTTCAAGTACGGGTTTGAAAAGAAAAAAAAATACACATTTGGTAACAATGGCAAATTCAAATCTTGCCAAAAGAATGTAACACAAGTTAAATAATCATGAGAGGAAAATTAAAATTCTGTCACCTAAGTAGGTTACCTAATGAGAACTTCAGAATATGAGAAAGAAAATTTGAAGTAAACATTGATCAGACATTGACACTTGCAAAACATTATTTTTCTGGAGGAGAGTAAGCACAGTGCTTCAAAATCTTCTTCAGGTAGTAGAAGTGCTTTGAGGAGGCTCTGAACTTTATGCAGTAGTTGAAGACATTTTAAAATTTCATAATTAATTACACTTCAGACTTGTCCCAGTGTAAGCAAAATAGAAAACCAACACACCTAAGATCACTGCAGGAATATTTTTGTAGTCATCCATCTATCACATACTCCAGTGTCAGAGATCAGCTCAACTCCCTCCAGAACTGATTTTTCCTTTGCAAAATGTATCTGTTTAGAGCTGGATATGCAAATTCTCATCAATACAAATGGACAGACTATTACAGGACCACCTTGTACCACACACAACCATGCAAACAACAAGCTCTTCTTGATGCTCTGTGAATAAGCCAGTCTCTTAAATTATGTTACCAACCAAATAATAGTCTACAAGCATTCTCTCAACAGCTTCTGTTGTAATCTTCCCCAAAAATTCACATCTCAGAACTGTACAGTTCCATTATTTTAATTGATTGAATATAGATTAGCAGTGTTAGTGTAAGAAAGAAGATTTAATGGCATCAAAGTCATTCCAATTAAAACAAGGAAAAAAAATGTTGCAATGCACTTCAGCCAAACCATCACAAATGATATGTTATATAAATACAGACACGAGGTAGCTGGCAGCTATAAATCCACCAATTCTGGAAGTGCCCAATTTGTCTAAAAAGCATAAATTGACAAATATCAATCAAATCTTTCCATTAAAAAAAAAATAATACCTAGTTTATTGCTTTTCAGTGTTTACATCAGAAACAGGCAAAGGCTTATCAAAGAAAGTTACCTAGCTGTTGATGGCTTTTGATCATATCCACTTTTCAAAAGAACCACTAAATAAAACTTTGAATGCAAACAGCTGACTCACTCCCAATGTCACATATTCTCACCAAAATGAACAAAGGTTTGCATTCTCCAAGGTGAGGGGCAGCGAAAGAAGATGTAATATCCAAAAGAACAGCATTACCTACTTGCTTATGAGAGATCAGGAACAGAAATAAAACCAGTGTTCCCACCAGACAGAACACATTGAAAAAACAGACTGAGGACTGCAGGAAAGGCAGAAAGCTTCTAGCTACAAACACAGTGGCATCACAGCAAATGATTCATCTTAAGCAGATGGAAATATGATAATCTGTAGCACAGGTGTGATTTTTAGTAAAGCTTCCTGAAGTTTCTTTTTTGTGTGTTTCAGAAAAGGCAAAGGCAGAACAGGCAAGGAAAAAAGGCAAGTAACATAAAAGAGGAAAAAATGTAAGAAAACAAGACAAAGGACTGAGAAGTAGGACAGACTTCAACAATATGATCTGAAAACTGCTTAGAGGTCAAGTAAGCAAAGTGAAAGTTAAGCTCATTTCTGGAAAGAATCTGGAGGTGAACTAAAGGGCAGATGGGTAGGCAAAGGGGTTTTGTTTGTTTTTATTTTGGGCTTAGTTTGGTGTTCGGGGTTGTTTTTAATATATTTATATACACACACACAGAGTGCAAGTTTCTCTAAAGAAGTGATACTACAGATGACAGAACTTACTCCCCTGCAACATATGGAATATCTTGACCTCTCAAGTAAACTAACCATACAAAAGTGATAAGAGCAAAAGGTGCACGTAACACCAGCAGCAATATTATGTTTGGCTTTCCACTACTTCTGCCAGTTACTGTCCATATATTACATGACTATTATAGAAATGGCACAGCCTCAGACACTTTCCACAGTTTATTTACATTTTAAGACTAACTTTAATCTCAATCACATATCCATACATTTCCTTTGTTTCACTAAAACTTAAATGCATGGTTTATTAGAACAAAGACTGTAAACAAATATTTGCCATGTCCAATACATGTAACACAGGAGCTGCTTAACAGAAATTAATCCCCCCATTTTATAAATACAGGTATCAAAACAATCCTGAACATACTTTGTGACACTACTAGTAGTCGGCACCCACACCCTTGCAAAATTAAACAAGATGAGCAACGGTATTCACTGTACCTGCTACCTTAAAACAAATTTAACTGCAGCTCTTTTACTAAGCAAGATGGATAAAGCATGCCATTTATATTTTGCCTTCTCCAGAAATTATTTTCAGTAACATATATTATTCCACAGCAATCTGACACTTTCTGTCATGCTTTCATCTTGTAAAACCTGAATTCCAATTATAGGCTATTTCAGGCTTATGCTTAAATGACAGTGCCTCAGTAAGAGAAAAAAAATAATTGTGCTGCCTTTTTCTCCCATAGTGCCTGAAAACATATTGGGCATACATATATTATATATATTCTTACAAATGTCCAGGTCATGTATACCAGCTGAAATTCTTTAATGTGTGGGTGTTTGCATTGTGAGATTTAATCAAGACATTACATGAGTAGAAGGTTGTTGTTTTAAGACAGAAGTTTGAGAATCAGCTAAAATTAATTATTGTAAGTTTGTCCCTCTGGAGGTTGTGGAAGCTTCATATTTTCTTTGGACATCATTAGACGTCTTAGCTCTTGAAGTACAACTTTAATGCTATATGAATTTTGCCATTTTGCTAACACTGGTATGCTCCGTGCATCCACCTGGAAAAAGAAGAGAGAAATCTAATTTATAACTGAACACAAAATATCTACATAAATAACTGTTATCGACAGTTGCTCTAAGAAATGGTCTAAGCATTCCCTGACACCTTCTCTGTGGCATAAAGTCCCTGTGTTCCTAAAATATTTTAAGGAAAACAATCATATACTTACACACAGATACAGATTCTGCAATAAAATCCATGCAGGTGGACCCTTCCATCTGTGCTGCTACTTATATTAGTGTGAAGAAAAAAGGATGGTAAGAGGACATCAGCAAACTGTTCACTGCAAAACTGAAACTGCTACCTCACAAAATTTATAAGTTTTTTTCAAATTACCCCCAAAAAGAAACAAATAATCACCTTCACTATGCTAATATATGCACCTTTCTAAAGGAACATTTCCCTTATTATTTCTTTGCTGCAAGTACTGTTGGTGATTTCTTTCACACAGATATTACACGCTGCTTCTCATACATCTAGAGGCACTACATGTATTAAGAAATGTCTTGAAACACTGAAATAATTGATTTGTAATGCTTGGACATTTCTTAGTTCTTTGCATCCTTCTCACATAAGTCATCTTACGGAGCCGTGAAGATTACTGTACATCACTTACCAAGTGGAATATGAACTGAAAGGAAAGGACATGGGACTTCTCCTATGCGTTTAAAAACCTGTGGGACAATTTACACAATTATATTATAACGGGGAGGTTTCCACAGGAAAGTCAGCAATTGAAAGTCATCCTGGGAATTGTTCTGGCAGCAGGTTAATTCCCAACCCCTGCATGGAGGAACTTAAGAGCACAGAGGGGCCTATAGCTGTGCTGTGCAACTGCAAAGCAGGCCCTGGGGCAGGAATAGGGCTATTGCATGCTACTGGATTCCTTTGGTAGAGTTGCAGCCCATATGGCTACAACAGTGCTGGAAACCACTGGTTTATGATTTAGGTAGCATAAAACATCAAGAAGTTTCTTATCCCATCTTAATTAGGGCAAGCTGAAAGAAAAAAAAAAAAAAACCTGGAATCAGAAATGTTAACACAGATGTTTTATTTCTAGATTATTTGAAGTGAGGCTACTTTCAGAACACCAGATGAGACTAAACAGACTAAACCTTTTGTAGGAGGAAACTGAGGCCAAGGTTTAACAATGTGCTGGCTTGGGCAGCAATACTATCCCAAGAAACTTATGTTCCCTCTCTTGTTCCTTCAACAGTGCTACTGCCTACCAGCTCAGTTAAACCATATACAGGGAAACATTCTGTGATCTGAACTGACAGAACCCACCTAGTTTAAAGCACCACCTTGGAAAGAAGTCCCTAGGTAGGATCCTTGACCTTATTTACAGCTCAGCACTTAAAAGCATTTCTTTTCACACAATGTTCTGCTCAGAGCTGGGAACCCCTTAAAGTCAGCAGAGTTGCCAACAACAACTTGAATCATCAAGCTACAGTAAGAATGACAGTCAGATGATTTAATAATTATTGCAAACATTTGATAAAAAAGAAAAATACCATAAAAATAAAAGCTAAATTATGGAGCAATGTCATGCCGGTTTAAAATACATGAGTGTATGAGCCAATACAGAAAAAGGTTGTGAAAGTTAGCACTGCTGAAATCATCACTGTAATTCCTGTACTATTGCTACTTTTTTAAAGGGGTATTTGGGTTAATGTGGTAGATACTATGCAAAATGGCTGGAAAGGAAGTTGCCCTGGGACTACAGAAATAAACATCTAACTTCAGTCTGGAAATTCTGCTTTCACACCATCCTCCTTGCCCTTGCTTCTCCTCCTCCTGCCTTTGTCGGTTCCCTCAGGTCTGGGCGTTTGCCTCAATTACAGCACACAGCAGCCAGTCACCACTGCTGTTCAAATAATGCCATTCTACAAAGACTGGAACATGAGAGCTGATCACTTAAGAGTAAGCTCCTCCTGGTTTTCTTTTTTCCTGGGAATTTGCAACAAAAAAAACTCACAGACTGCAAACTCTGCTTTAACATTGCTGTGAATGTTTTCTGACTAAAGACGACTGCAACATGACATTTTTGTTGCTTGTTTATCTCAAGTCTCTTTTCTGCAAGTCACCAACTTCTTTCATAACATCTTGCAGCAGTAAAGATTTTGGCCCAGGTTCTGTTTTCTGTCTTGCAGAATTGATTTCCAAGTTAGTGCATAATAAACTCACTTTATGAAGAACAATGATAAGACATTTAAAGACATTTAAGAGAGTGACACAAACTATGTTCAAATCACACAAAAGCATAAGGTAATATTCAAATGCACATCCTGGAACACAGGGAGACATTTCAAGGTCACATAAAAGCTAATAAACCTGCAAACTGCAATCTGAAGACTATTTAGACTATTGTTTTGGGAGGTACACCACTGTGGAACCCTGAATAATAAGAGAAGCAATCTACGAAATGCATTATTTTTTTAAACAGCTGACAATAAAAATAATTTTACACAATTATACAAAGTATTTAGTGTTTACAATGTTCCAAGTAACTTCAACAAGTAGCAGCAAATGTCTACAGCAAACATAGTCAAAACAGTAACCGGGCAGCTTACAGATTTACAGCTGAGTCCTAAGTGATTTAAAAGTAAACAAGTATTTCCAGCTGTAAATGGTATCCTAATGAACAGAAGTGATTGCAAATCCTGCAAGATAGACTGCTGAGGAGCACCATCACAGATGCAAAAATCAGACAACCTCAAAAGAAAATGGGAAAACAAACAGCACATTAGAATGCAACCTGTGTTTTATCAATTTGAGATAAGTAAGTACGTCTCCAAGAGAAAAGACCCTGTAGCATTAGCAATAATAATCTACAGTTTTACAACAGTGATGCCATTAGCACATAAAAGCATTTTGTGCAGCTCTACACAAGTACTTAGTCTTGTTTTTCTGACCTTAGTAACCTAATTCTGTACACAAATACAGCAGATCCATAGGTAAGTTAAAAAAAAAAACCTACAAACTTTTTTCTTAACTTGCAGATAAGAAAAGAAAGACAATTTAACGGGGTGCCTCACAGCACCTTAGTCTTTTGAGATAAAATATTCCTGAACTAGTTCTCTCCTCTCCTGCAGTAAATTTATCAGTGATTCCTGAAGATATGCTGCTGGCAGAGAAGTTACTTACAAACTCCTCTCTCACAGACTAATCAAACAAAAAGTCAATAAAGTTGTACCTGTCAGTATTGATAAATTCATTACACACATGCCCTTTTCATGCAAAGAGTAAAGGAATTTCTGAGTAAAGGGATTTTTAATCAAAAAAGTAGAGAACCATTGCCCACAGAGCAGTATGAGAATAGCTTGCTCAGATCCCTAGTAACTACACTTATCCATCTTTCCCCTGTACCAATCACACTCTAACTCAACAGAAATTATCACCCTCTAAAATCCCCAGTGTGGACCCTACTTTTCCACAGATGTTAACTGGCACACAAGCCTACCTTAACAACATTACAAATGTTTTGAGTGTAATCTGCTAAGACAAAACAATTTCAGCTGCTGTTTGTCTCAGGCTTTTTTTCAGCAAGTCACAACTTCTTCCTGACATCTACAAGCAATGTGACCAAACGCTGGCCACATGGCAAAACCCAGGGTGCCTGCAGAAGCACGGATAGTAGACGAAGTCTGCAGATGAAACTCTGCCATTAATTCAAAGAATTCAAACCACTTATGATCTATTACATGAAAGATGACCAGAAAGTGGGAGAACAGCTTGGAAGAAACATGAAGGAGCTATGAGGAAGCAGCTATTTCAACTGCTCCAGGATGCTGAACATGCCCCACTGTTTGTTCCATGGTTCCTCTAATGACCACAAAGACAAAATAAGATAAAATGCAAGACACTGGGACAATGGGCACATTAAAAATTATATAATAAATGTGTTTTAAATTCACTACTTATGAAAATTCCTATCATTAAAAATACTACTTACTCCCATTTAAACCCATCAGGAAAAAAGAAAAGAAGTTATGCATTTGCATAGGAAATCCTTCATAACATATACGAGTTTATCTTCTGGGGCAAAAAATTAATGATGGTTTGATGTAAGATTATTAACTTACTAAAATCAATTTTTCCTGTAGCAATGAGTCAATTTGAACAGTGCTTTTAAAACAACAACACAGATTTCCTGTCACAGTAGTCACCCTGTTCCTCAGCAAGCTGAGTGAATGTAGACTTTTCCAAACAGAAGCTCAAACTTACTGGCTTCAGTAAACAAGAGCCTTCAGGCTCTGCTAGTCTAAGGTCCTGCTTCTGGAAACCAACACCTATACCTTGAGGTAGGCAGAGATTAAGCCATGACAGCATATTTCTTCACTGAATCAGAATAATACACGTTCCTATGGTACTAGAAGAGGTATGAAAATCATCTTCCAAACATACCATAAGCAGCTTTTGCTTCTCACAACTTCTCAATAAACACACACCCTTAGTCAACAAGCCACAGTTGTGATTAAGGGCATGAGCTAATTTGCAGATAGCAATTTTAACAGGATATTCAGGTAGACTAAGATTGTTAGCTACATAAAAGTATTTTCAGAGTAATTTTAGACTATTTCTGAAGCATTAGTGAAATAACTTTTGAAGACCAACCCAAACACCACTCTACAACCTACAACAGCCCAAAATATCCCCTGAGAACCTCTTCCTTCCCCTGCTACAGTCATTGAGACACTTGACATTCACAGTTCAGTACTGTTAATTACAGAAATGCAAGTCCATCTTTCTTGTAAATCTCACAAATTATTTAAAATCGAAATATGCTAATGCACCTTTAGGTATTGCCTTAACCCAACTACTCTGCCTTCACTAAAGACAAATGTACCCACAAATGGTGATTGTGTTGGTGATTGTGTTTCCTGCTGACAGATGCACACACCGCTGCAAACGCAAAGCAGCTCACAGCTCCCCTCTGAGCACAGGGGCACCCCAGTTGCTCACAGTATTTAAGAACCTGGTGAGTAACAAGCTTGCCTGAGCTGCTGCCACAGCTCCTCTGTGAACTCATCCCACCCTAACTGCAGGATCAGAGAAAGCAACTTACTGCAAATTGACCTTTAAAATGCAAGTGATTACCAGCTATATCAAAAGGTTGTAAGACCAAAGTTCAGAATCTCACCTTGGATTTTAATAAACCCAGTATAAAGGAAACAAGAGTATAAATACAACAGTTCATTACAGGTGAGTTAATACATCCAGAGTGAGTCTCATCAGGAACAACCTCAATTTTTAATTAGTGGAAACATCAGAGAGAATCTGTAATATTCCTGCTACAATACGAATCTAATCCCCTTTTATAAGAGTATTATGAAGGAAATACCTACACAGAGCTTAAACACTTGTTGTTTTTCTGTTCAAAACTAAAACCTTCATCTTCATTTAATTCAAATAATAATATAATAATAAACCTTCATCTTCATTTAAAAGAAACAACTGTCTTAATATTATAAATAATGCTCATCTCATTGGTAAGCCACAAAAAGCCACAAAGATTTGAAGAAGTAGGCCATCAAATTTCAATTGAAATATGTACTTATAATATAAACATTAAATAGAAAGCTCTGTGCAACATGCATATTCCTCACCTGATTTTCACAGAAATATTTTTAGTGTAAATTAACAACATGGTTGATCTTACCATTTCAACTTACCATTCCATTGGAATTATTTATTCCATTCATATTAATTTTAGTAACAAATCTAACTGTAGGAGGTGCTTCTGGGTATTTAGGTCCACACTCTACTTTCAGACTGTATATTCTGTTTTCATAGTTTGTCTAGAAAGCAAAAAAACAGACTAATGCATTTTACTGAAAGCTAAATATTAAGAATTTTTTAAAAACAGAACAAAGGCAAGAGGAATAATAATTATGAAATATGAAATAAATATAAATTTGTTCATATTGTATACCAACTGAAGGTCTTGGATTACTGACTGATTTCCACTGTTTTGGCAATATTGATTACTTCATGATTATGCATAAATTACACTGCTTTTTGACTACACCATACACAAGTTTTAATACAATTCTGTTTTTAACTCACATTTGCTCTCATCCTTTCTATCCACCTGCATCCTCAAAACAACACAGTACAGGACTAAGAGAAATCAATTAGCTTTAGGAAAATTACCACCTTCCCCCACAATGAAATATGTAATACTGTAAAAAAAAAAAAGGAAATGGAGGAAGACAAGAATGCCAATAATTTAACAGTTAAGATATAACCAAAACCAAAATAAAAATATAACCTGCAAAAGAAACATATCCTGGAAGCAGTTAGCACTACAGAAAATATCTGAAATTTCTGCAGCTGAGAATCACTTGGTTTACTGGAGGATTTATGAGTTTGGACAGTAAAGCAAGAGACTGCTAGTTTGCAGATGTCATTCCAAAGTGACCATGGAATGGATAATTCTAAGTGCAAGCATACTTAGAATTAGATATGGTTCTATTTTTTTTTATCTTGTCAAGTAGGCCATGCCAAAGATCAGTGCTTTGCTGGTCACTGATGCACGTGCCTCTGTGTTCCAAAACGAAGATGAACTCCATTTCTACACCTGCTTTTGCACTGGCACAACAGAAAGAGCCAACATGAACAAAAAAGCAGCAACATGCCTCTCAGCTTTACAAAAGTATCATCTTTAACCTGTTCTGCATCAGTCAGCAGTCACTCACTCTCCAAGCAGAAGCATCAACCACATAGCCAAGCATCAAACAACAGGCTAGTCTGTGGTTAATTAAAATGCAGAGTGAAAACAGGACTACAGAAGCACCCTAACCATGTACCATAATTTTTGAGCATGCACAGAGACTGAACAGCAAGCAGGTCACAAAGAAACAGTGAAAAACTAAAGGTTTTCCATTACTCTTTCCCATTACTGTAATTAGGCACTGGACAAGGCTGCCCAGGGAGGCTGTGGATGCTTCAACTCTGGCAGTGTTCAAGATGAGATGAGCTCTTGAGCAACCTGGTCTAGTGGGAGGTGTCCCTGCCCATGGCACAGGATGTTGAACATCTTAAGGATGAACTTAAGGATCTTTAGGGTCCCTTCCAACCCTTACCATTCTGATTCTATGATTAAAAGCTGAAGGCCAGATAGAAGTCATCTTATCCTGCTACAAGTAAGATTGTTGCTGCCACAGCCAGAAAACACAGTAACTAAAATTCTCATTATTCATTCAGCCAGAACAATTTTCTTCCCCAGAGAGGGATGCTGTCAGTTACAGTGAAAATAGGCCAAAATGTATATAATTCTACTCACAACTCTGGAAAAACCCAAGAACAGCACTCATTTTCATTCCCTTATCCAGGTGGCTTCTCAATTTTGCTCAATTTATCAAGTCACTGTTTTACTGCAAGCCAGGCATCCCTGGCCAGCTTCCCAAAAAAAGTAAAATTTCATTTTCTGTAAGTCAAAAAAATGTTTCTATTAATCCAAAACAAAAACCTCCTCTCTTGCTGTTGGGTCACCTTTCAAATGAAGCAATAAAAAAACTGATAAGCAATTTTTTTTTCCACAACTATAGAGAAGCCTCATATGAGAAGAACTTCATGGACAATATTAGCAACTTTCTCCATGTTTTGCCTAACTGTACCATCTACTTAACTCAGCCAGTTCCAAAAAACACACATGTTCTACACGCCATGAAACTAGATATGCAGTTCTTCTCAAGGTGCTGTAACTGGTTTGGGAGTTGGTGGCTTTCACTTTCTGCAGTCACTACATATTGCAAGTCATTCTATCTGCAAGGTTGAGTCTCCCTGAAATGGCACAAGATATATTTTTTGCATACACTCTTTATCATAAAGAAAATAAACTCACAAAACTACAAATTGACCAAGACTAAAAAGTGTATCCCAAGCTGGGCTAAGTACTTTGATTATTTTTTAGAAATACACGGGATCTTCTATAGTAGTATTATAAATATAGTATTATAGACATCATAATCTCTTTTCAAAGATGTGTAGTAGTCTACTTTAGGTTGAACACGAAAGCAGTCACAGGCAGTGCTGGAGGGTTTTTGGAGAGCCAGGGAGACCCCATGACAACTAGGTCAAAATTTTCAAGTTTTTATCCCAACACATTAGACTACAAACTTTCTTCAAAATGGACTCCAACACAGATTCCACAGAAGCTAATATCCAAAGCATACAGTCATTGAGATTATATATTAAATCTGCCCTCTCCCAGCTGCATCCAATTCTTTTAGGAGCTCAGCAAGGTCATTCAGGTGTTCAAAGCAGCCTACTGCAAGTGGCAAAGGACTTCCAAAAGAAATCTGAATTACACTGAATCTATCTCTGGAACTCTGCTACTTTAGAAGACGTTGTTTTCACTGAGGCAGAGCTCTGATCTCTGTCTTGGACAGCTCATTCCATAAGCCCTGCAGCCCCAAGGGACACACAAGCCAGGTCTCACTCTAGCAGTGAAAGGCACGTGCTAACTGAGGGCTACTTAGATATACTCATTGAAAGGTCTCAGTTACACACTCATCTTTTGCATCATATTATAACCTAGGAGAAAGCATGCAGTAAGTCAAGTAAAGTCCACTCATATCTGATATGGTTGAGACATACAAGAGGTGATTACTTCTCTTGCAAGCTGTGTCAGTCTAAATGACATTCTACAGACCTTCAAAGGTCAGAAGGATTAGAGGTAATTAGAAGCTGCTAGTCTTTAGGTATGATTCAAGTGAAATTCTAACACTGTTATACTGCAAGACTGTTCAATAAAACTTGTAGAAGTTGAAAATGCATTGCCAGTTTACTACAAAATTGGAATTATCAGGCACATGTGACAAAATGGGGAAAGACAATTACCTGCTTATTGTACTATCAGTGTACACTTATGTTCAGTAACAGTGGAAATAGAGAATTAATATACTCATAACTGAGAAAAATATGTCTCAGATCACAACTGGATTTTACAGACAGCTACAGAAACAGGGGAGGCTAGCCTGAAACACATGCCAGAAAATGAAAAACTGTATACTATTTCTACAAAGCCATACACTGAATTTAAACTATCCTTTACATTGTAGATTAGTAACATTTTTTTTAGTTTGAATTGCCTAAAACCTAACAAAAATGATTTATTTCATCACACTTACCCTTGGTGGCCCAATAATCATTCCTGTCCATCTGGTGAGTGTCATATCTTCATCATCTTCAAGGCCCCAGCTTACTGTACCATCACCCACTCCCTTCTGCCCTTCTTCAAGTTCTTCCAACAAGCGAAAATTACGAGGTACTTTAACTAGAGAAAATGGAACAACGTAATTAACACTGCTCACATTAAGGAAAAGGTAACAACTTCGTTGCTTTTATATGTTACACACTAGCAACTGCTCAATGTATTTTCCAAGTCAAGCAAATATTGCCTGCACAAATTTATGCAGCACTCAAATTGCTTTGAAGCAACTAACTGCTTCACTGGAGGTTAATTACTACCAAGTAATACCAATACAAGCCATGAAACAGAAAATAGGAGAGCTCTCTTTAGCCTAAGATGGCTTAGTTCAGATTCTCTTTCCCAAGCACAGCCTATTTCAAAATCAATTGACTGTCTGTCAAGTTCTAATCAACCAGAATCCATATTAAATCAATACAGCAAATTTACTCCAAAACAAAATTAAAGAATGTAACATTTAACACAGATTATCCTAATAAATGTCAACTGAAGACTGAAATATTTTCACTTGATTACACTCATTTGTAAAAAAACCTCAACAAAAGACTAATATCTGAAAGCAAATTGAAAATCAAGGCTTTTTTAATCTAGTGATTAATACAGCCACTTGCCAGAGGAGAAAAAAAATAAGCACAGAAGCACTAATTAAATTGTTAAAGAGAGATAAAGACATATTCACAACAGAATACAGAGATTAACTGCCTTTAGAGAACACCAACTAATAGTCACTAACCAAACTATAATTACAGGATTTTTATTATTATTCATGAAAAAATGCAGATATTGATAGATATTAAACAACACGATGCTCAATTGCTTTACAGCATCAGCTAAAATGGCACTTCAGCACTGAGGGAAGAAAGGTAATTAACACTTGTGCATGCAATCATGGAATGCTTTTATTTTCAAATAAAATATGCACAATGATGTAGTAACAATAGTATAATACCATAAAACTTCCACTTAGCTATAGCTGCTTATAATTACTTATTTTTTCTTATATCTTCTTACAACTTTAGTATTATCCATTATTTTCACTAGAGATCCTTTCTAGTACTGTAAGAATCCAGGTGCTCCATAAAACTAAAAATTAAGACTGGGTACACACAATGTTATTTCAATCAAGTTTGGAAAAGATGAAGGATAAAGAAAACTGTTTTGCATATCAGTTATTCAGATTTGCATATCACTGTGATTTCAGGTTTTACATTACCCTAGTCTGTTCTCCAAGCAGTCTCTATGCAAGAAATCAAGAGTTTTAATGTACTATATTATTATTTAGTCAGATAATTGATGCAGATATATGGACCAGTATACACATACCTTTTAGCAACTCTTCAAATAGCTTATCTGGTAGAACCATAACCTCTCTTAAACAGTGTTTGAAACTTTTTTTTAGTAACACAGACTAGGGAGGCACTTCCAAAAATGGCATAAACTATTGTGTCCAAGTTCTCCAAATTGCCAGGGAAAAGCATTACGAGTATAGTATCAGGACAGTGGAAGGAAATTAAGTCATTCATGTACGGCCTCACCTTCCGTCCTGCCTTGGTGCTGCCACTCATCTGAGCCCTTACTGAGCTCCTTCAGCTTGCTAACTGAGCAGAAAATGACACATTTTGGTCTTCTCACAGCCCAGCCAGCACATGTGCTGAGAGCACCAGCAGAGTACATCAAGAAGCAGATCACATCTCAATTTTTTGACATAAAACCTTTTAAAAACCATCATTGAAACACATTTTCCCATCCTCTGGTCCCACTCTGATTTGTGATAAACATTAAGTGTGTACATTTATGTATCTAATTCTGACTAGAGATGAGAACTGACAATCACACTTCAACCACAAAGTTTTTACTCCACATTCATACATGTTCTGAGCTGAGTCTGCCAAACCAAATGATAAAGTTCTACTTTGCATCACATGACTGAATAGATTCTGATTGGTAGGTGCAGTCTCAAATTAAAAAAACCCACAACAACCTCCACCTACAAACCCCATGTACCTTAGCATTCACACATTACTTTAGGCTTCCCCAGCAGCTTAAATCCACCTTTTCTCAGAACCTCTGCTCTGACTGCAGAACTTCTGAGTCACAGTTTAGCTCTTTAAAAAGAACATAAAAGATGGTACCAAACAGGATTTAAACTTATTTCTGATTATGTGCTATCACCTTTCAGCACAGCCTGGATGACCCAGCTGCTCACTGTCCTGATATTCCATGCCTTCTCCCAGAATTCTGTTGCTCTTGCACTAGCCAGGCTCCTCTATTAGCCAAATTGTCACACTAATTTGGCAAAAAAAGCTGTTTTTCCTTCAAGCAAAAATCAAATCCAACCAGTTAATCAAGTGAATTGACTCAGGAAAAAAGAACAACAAATGCCAGAGCTGACTGCTGTGGCTCTCAGTGCCTTCCTTTGCAAAACCATGTGTGTGAGGATAAAGGAGCTTTTTGTGACAAAAAGCCACTGCACTGACTCAGCTGTATCATAAAACGGTACCCAACACATTAAACTGGAGGAGATGACACCAGAAAACAACAACCCCTTATGATGAACTGACCTGTGTTCATCACATTTTTCCATCATATTATCTGTGTTCACTGATTCCCATAACTGCCCAAGGGGAGCAGTGAAGGACTTGGGAAACCTCCAGAACATCTCCAGAAAATAATTTAGATCTGCTCTGAAAAGAGATCTGACAAAAGCATCTGAGAGCAAGAGCCAGACTCCCCACACTAACATTCTTATCACTGCTAGAACTAAGTAGCAAAACACTGTTCTGAAGTTAAGAATAAAACCATCTTGTGCTAAAAAAAATACACAATAATCCCAACTAAAAACCCAACACACATGCACACAAAATCTTGTCAATAACAACAAAATTCTCCCCCCCAAAATCCACTCAACTGCTTCTATGTCCCTGGCATATATGACTAATGTTTTATCATCAATACTTCAAACTTTATTAAAGCAATTACTAAGTGTTTTCATAGAAAATTATTATTGCTAGATTTCTGACAAGTGACACAGAATAATGTAAAAATTAACACAGTGGATTTAAAACAAACAAACAAACAACCTAACAAAAACCAATCCCTTACTATTATTTATAACTACAGACTTAGAAACTTCCAGCAAAATTAACTGGAATTAAATAGTGTCTTGAGCATCTGCTCCTGTCCTTGTGCATGCTATTGCACTCTACATGCTTGCTTTGATCATGCTATAACCTCTACACAAAACAAATTTACCTAGCTTGAAGAGTGGAACACACACATAAGATTGTGCTCTCTTCCCAGTAAAAAACAACAAGAACTTCTGTCTAGAAATCCAGTCAAGGATGATCTGGATTCTCCAGACATTAAGTTTCCTCCTAGTATAAAGAGAAAGTAAAAAAATTCCTCTTCTCACTGTTTCAGGTATTTCAGAAAGCAGTTTTATCTTTAATACAGACAATGCAATTCATCAAATATTTGCTAAAAACTTTGAAATATTCCTGACTGAATTTGAGTAAGAATCGTTATTTTATTTACAGAATTTGGACAATGAAACCGTTTTCTCTTTTCACGTGCAGCTCATTAGCAGTATGAAATTACAGAAAGCAGCACCATTTTTCAGCTGACTCCCAGACCTCAGGTGTTCTCCCAGTGCCACTTGCTCATGGGACCACGAAGCAGCTTCAGGCAGGCACAGACAGGTTGGTTTTACTCTCTGTAACAGGCAGAGCTAAAGCCTCACACTGCCAAGTGAAGGGGATTAAAGCTGTCAATTTGAACACTGGCAGAACTACAGGCACGGTAAATTCCCCTCAGCAGGCTGTGATTTACAGCTCAATACAACACTGCACCCAGCACAGCTCTTTGCAATGATGGACTAAGGCTCTGCATGTGCAAACATAGATGGTTTCATCCAGATTAAGAAAACAAAAAGCAAAACCTCTCTTCACTTTATCTGCAAAGATCACTTCACTGTAGATTTTACTGACAAATAGCCTCCTGACACCCCTGCCCAAAATCTGTCACAGGAATTGCCAAACAACTTCTACCAAACTCTCACAAACAGTTGAACTAAATATATTTCACTTAAACAAAACATCACTCATGCTTACATACACTAATAGTTTTTAATTTAAAAATTGAATCATGAAACTGGACTACACAAATCCATGAAATCATCAGTAAATTTAATACCCTGGAATTAGAAGAGAATGAAAGAAGACTCAGTAAACAAAGCCCAAAATTTAAGCATGAGGGTCTACTTTCATATATCAGTAGCTACTTCAGGCATTACAATCTAAATCACCAAGTTAATAGAAATAAAAAACACACTACCACAAAGGATGAGTGAAGAAAAAAGTTATAGCTATGCTTTGATCCAGAATCTGCATAACCTGGAAAAAAAATCAGGAAAGAAAATAAAAAGGAATCTTCAGTGTCCATTAGTAGTACCAACAACTTTCACTGTAGTAACAAATGAGAATTGCCTGGATGAACCTGTTCTTGCTAGACAGAGTTCCCTAGTGGGTAATGTCAGATCACTCAGTGATACAGTGACTTAATCAGCAGCATGAAGACAACACACAATTGCACTTCTGTGCACTTAAGTCAGATTTGACAGACCTCACTGGATACATTAAATCACATTTTTAAACAGTTCACATGGACACACTCCTGCAAAGAGTTGGCAGTCCAAGCTCCTCACACAACAAATGATTCTTTGCTGTGTAACAGGCAAGAGTGGGATAACCTACACTCTGCTCTTGTCTCTGCAGGTTACAAAGCAAACCATAACCCAAAATTTTAATAGATTAGCTCAGAGCCTAAAGTGTGAAGTTTTCTGTAAGACCCAAAATTATGCTTTTTAGAGTAATTGTCCATAATCAACATTCCATACCAAGATTTAGTTTCTCTTCAAATCTCTCCCAGTTCTTGACTTGAATCAGTCCTGAAAGTTAACTCAGTACCAGGACCATTTCACCCAGCACACCCCATACTACCAAGACTCCAAAAGACAGCTCTACAAACAAATCCTAACGTGCACACAAGAACAATTTATATCAAAAAAT